AATCAAATTTTGGTGAAGCGTCGGGTCCTAGACCGATCGGTCTAGGCCTAGACCGATCGGTCTAGGCTGTTCGGTCTTCGGGTCTGCGTCGGTCCAGATCTTTCGGTCCAGAATGGTCCAGAGCGATCGGTCTACGCGTGCAGACCGTTCAGTCCGGACCTGTCGGTCTAACCGACTTGCGAAACCCTAGACCGATCGGTCCAGGCGAAAACGTGATCAGATCTCGTTTTCGTCGTTTCTGCCCCGTTTCAGACCCGAATTCGATCCCGTTTTCGCCTGCGAACTCAGAATTCGAAGCTCTTGCACACTATACAACAATGAATAGAAAATCTACTCTATATCCAAAATTAAATCATGCATAGCATCAAAGCAAACACGGATTCAAACAATTCAAATCCTATAACGTGCGTGATCGAGTTCTAACAAAAATCATGCAGAGCAACCAGGCTCTGATACCACTGATGGAATTCCTGGGATCTCATGAGAGAATCTAATTCCTAAGAGATCGATTCTAGAGTTTGCGCAGCGGATGTAAAACAAAAATTTTAATGAAACCCTAGAACCTATCATGCATGATCTTGTAGAAACGTTAGAACGCTTACCTCAATCGATCCGGGGCCTGTATCAATTGATATGTTCGTCAGATCACTGTAGGCAGGAAGAATACCTTGCCCTCTACACGTATCCACACGGCGGAAAGGATTCCAACGGTTGGAACTTGTCTGCTAGGACTGAAGAACACGTTCTTCTTTGCGCAAAGGATTCATGGATCTTTCTCTTAGGTTTTTCACTCTCCAAACCTCTCCCTAGGGTCTGAAATTCGTGCCAAAAGAGTTGGGTGGCGTTTTCCAAAGTTTCTACCCTTTAAAACCGTAATTAGAGCGAGTTTAGTGAATCCCGACGTCTGGACCGATCGGTCTGGAGCTTTTTAACGTCTGGACCGATCGGTCCATTTCTGGACCGACTGGTCTGGAACAATTTCCAAACCTCATACGTTACCTCTGGACCGACCGATCTACGTCTAGACCGATCGGTCTGGGTTAGCTGGACCGATCGGTCCAGACCTTCTGCACCGGTCGGTCTGGCCTCCGCTCCACCGGGATTTTCTCGTCTCTTTTCGCGCATTCGTCCTTTCCTGTGTGTATGACCCTGTAGGCTCATCCGATATAGCAGTATAACACGAAATCTCTTATTTCGGTTACACAAGTCATAGGCGGTCTCTAGCAAGACACTATGACTACCTATCTCGAATAGAGTTTGTTCGTGATCCTAGAACGCCAGTGGTGACGATCCTTTTGTATCACGATATCTTATGTCGAATATAAGGCATGGACAAGCCACCTTATCTGATTCGACTGCTTTCTCGTTCACTGAGTTCGACTGTCTGAAATAGACGACGTTCGTCTATAGTGCGGGCACACATTTCTACAGTCTCGCTCACACGAGGGGCCCAGCGATATCTCTCTCTTTTACGAGAGGTACAAATCCCGTCTTGACTATCTACAATCCAACACATGATTCGTTTCGTACCTGATACACGCCTTTATAGTCCTCCTGTTACGCAGGACGTTTGACGTAATCAAAGTACGCAACTCCTCATGTTGGATTCCGTAGATATCTCAGGTCTTAGGATCCAATCATGGAACCGTCATATGAGATTCAAGTCATGACGCTAGTCCATGTGACAATCTCATACGGGTCAATCCAGTATTCCGTTCTCCAACGAATACCTATGATTGTGATCATATCCAATACCTATGATCATCTATATGATCATCAATCACACATCATACTAGTCTTATTATGTCGTTATTCCCATAACGACACAAGACTAGGGAGTTTAGTATTGTTCATAACAATACATGGATTTCATAACACATCTAGTATGCAAGAACATGTAATGAATCAAATACTCTCATAAAACCATAGAAAGTATCAATACATCAAATGTATCTAAATAAAGCTCATAAACAGTACATCAAAGAGCACTAAACCAACACTTGAAGTTATGGAAGAAGTTGGGATTGAGCAAGATCATAAGTCAGACACGAAGAAATCTGAAGAAGACCTCAATCACGATTGAAATCTGTATCAATCAAGGTTAAGACCGTTTCCTCTTTACACCTCAATATTCACTTACCAAAAACACCAATATCTTGTGATTCCATTAACTTATATCTTGCCTTGTGTATATCTGTAGTATGTTCAATATATATAATATACAAAACTGAAGAAAGTCAAGAAGAAGAAACAAAGTATTTTTTTTGCAGAACGTGTTCATATTCTTGAGCAAGAACACCAATCTTCGATTCTTCAAACTCTTGTTTTCTTTAATATTTGCTTCTCTTCGGGATCCTAGTACCCATAAGAGGATACCGAGGGTTATCATCTTAGTGGGAGTTTTTATCGTGTTTTGTCTAAAAGGGATCTTTTCAACAGACATACCATTTCTTCCTTCCCTTTCTCTATAAACCCTTCTGGTTGGTTCATAAAGATCTGTTCATCCAATGTACCATGCAAAGATACTGTTTTCACATCCGTTTGTTCAACTAGTGACAACATCGCCCTTATGGACACATGTTTAACAATCAGAGGGAAGATTTCTGTACAATATATTCCTTCTATTTGGGTGAACCCCTTTGCCACCAATCTTGCTTTAAATCTGGGTTTTTCTACTCCTAGAATGCCTTCTTTCCTTTAGACAAACCATTTACATCCAACTATCCTCTTGTTCTAAGGTTTCTTAGTCAGTTCCCAGGTATGGTTTTCCTTCGAGCAAGCATATACTCCGAGAGGTCCTCAGATTCCTGATCCTGCTCTTCCTCTGTATCTGAATTTTGATTTTCATCATTGTTATTCTCTGTTGAGTTTTGTACCTGTGATTCCTAAGGATTTCTATCGTAAGCTCCACCTTGAACCTTTGCTCTAGGAATTTCTATCTGGTCTGTCAAAATTGGAATCTGAATAACCTCATGGCCTAAATCTAGTTCTGGGGCTTTCTTCTCAGTTTTTTGTTCTGATTTCCATTCTTTATAAAGTCTGGACTCATCAAACTTCACATTTATGCTTATGACAGTTTTCCTTTCTTTAGAAATCCACCTTTGTATTCTTTTACTCCATTTGGGTATCCTATAAAGATTCTCCTTCGGTTGGAGCTTTCCTTGGTCTGAATGTACATATGCCAGACATCTGAACTTTCTTAGGTGTTTGGATCCTGGTTCCACTCTTGACCATACTTGATTTGGTATTCCTAGGTTTATAGCTGCTGAAGGGGATCTATTTATCAGATATACACTTGTTGCAGTTGATTCTGCCCAAAGACTTTGGGGCAATCCTGATTCTGCTAATAAACACCTCACCTTTTCTATATTTGTCTTATTCATCATCTCTATAACTCCATTTTGTGGTGGAGTGTAAGGGCATGTCTTGTGCCTCAGAATTCCATTGCTTTTGCAGAAGTTATCGAACCTTTGGTTGCAATATTTTAAGCCATTGTCTATTCTTAAGGTCTTCAGTTTCTTTTTTGTGTGATTTTCAACCAACTTCTTCCATTCTAGAAACCTCCCAAATGCCTCATCCTTTGATTTCATAAAATAGATCTAGACTTTCGTAGAAAAGTCATCAACGAAGCTCATGAAAGGTAAATTATGTGACCCCCATAGGTCAGAGTGTAAATACTCTAATATCCCCTTTGAAGTGTGTTTACTTGTCCCAATGTTAGCTTATGGGACTTTCTGAACACACATTTCTCGCAGAACCTTAGTGATTGTTGGTTGTAATGCTCTAGGATGATCCGTGATATGACATTTTGACTTTGTATTGATTCATTGGTTTATGAATGCATTATTATTCCTGTTATATGATTGACATGTTTGTTATATTTCGGTATCCTTGAATCATTAGAGAATGATTCTAAATTCATTGGTCAGTTATCATTGTGGGAATAATGATGAATTAAGACAAGCATGAGGTGTGATCGATGCATTAGATGCATATCACAATCATGGGTACTCGTTGTGAACGAGTGACTGGATGGCCCGCATGAGATTGTCACATGGACATAGTCATGTCTTGAATCTCATACATCGGTTCGTTCTTGGACCCTCAGACCTAAGATATCTAGAGTATCTGATATGAGGAGTGGCATGTCTTGACTGCGTCAAACGTCGTCTTTAATCGGATGATTATAACGACGTTGATCAGATATGTTCATGAATCATATGAAGATAGTAGACATGCAATACGAGACTTGTCACCTCCTTAATAGAAGAGATATCGCTGGGCCCTCTCGTGGAAGTCGGGCTATGAAAACGCGTGGCCACGCTATAGATGAAGTTGCATCTATTTTATTAGTCGATTTGCCAAGACGAGAAAGCGGTTGAATTTGAAGGGTGACTCATACATGCCCTTGTTCGACATATGAAATCGTTAGACAAAGGATCAGAACTCGAGCTGTTACTGTCTACGTTAGATCACCTCTAATTCTATTCAAAGTGGGCGGTCATGACATCTTGCTAGAGGCTAACCATGGCTTGTAATTCAGAAAAGGGTTTCCGAAGCCACTGCCACTGCGAATGGACCTACAGGGTCACACACCATTAGGGATGGACAAATACGTGTCCTAAAATTGGCTTTATTAGGAATCCTAATTGGATTGAGATTTCCAATTGGATGAGAAATCCTAATGGGATTAAGAATCCTATTATGTATAATAATCCTAATGAGATTAGAATTCTATTACATATAGAAAACCTAATGAGATTAGGGCTTTGAATGGTAGTGGCTTTTATTTTGGGTTTTTGGTTTTAGTTTTTGGTTTTTGGTTTTTAGTTTTTGGCTTTTGGCTTTTATAGTTTTTACAGTTTTTAAAAAACTTGATTGGCAAAGTTAATATTTTAGCTTTTGGTTTTAGATTTTATATTTAAAAATTACCAAAAGGGTATTTATTATTAAAACAAAAATCATATTTATTAATATTAATAACAACAATAATAAAAAAATCAACATCGAGAATCCCATAATGTCGCTGCAATTTCATCTCGAATTCCCTCCATATACCTAATCGAAGCATCGTTATGGTTTTCTTCGTCATTTTCATCATCCGATGAATCGTCTTCATTTGTTGCATCACTTTCTTCAACAGGTTCTATCTCAAAATCAATATCTTGTAAGTTTGATAAACGAATAAAATTATGCAGTGCCATTGTTGCCGCCACAACCTTTTGTTGGACCCGTATATTATACCTTGGTTTTTCTTTCAAAACTCGCCATTTCGCCTTCCATATTCCGAAAGTTCGCTCGATTACTGATCTAAGGGAAGAATGCTTCTTGTTAAACATTTCCTTATAACTAGTAGGTTGGCGTGATGTACTGTATTGATCAGGGTGATACCTTTCTCCCCGATAAGGTGTGAGAAAACCGGGTCGAAGAGCATAACCAGAATCACCTAAATAATACTTTCCAACAGGGGGAATTGGAAAATTATGATTTCCCTCCATAGCTAATGCGAGAACCTTTGCATCATGAGCAGATCCAGGAATG